ATGCTACTTTCTACGCCAACTAATTTTGATGTTTCATCTGGTGGCCTGCGCCTTCCTCCTTTGACTGACTCGCTTGGTTCGGCGAATTGGTGCTACACAAAGGTTAGCGTTCTTGGTGGATACTTAGGCATCCTGAGCCTTACATGGAGCTTTAAACGGTGATTTATTCATTGATAGTTTGTACGTGAGGAAGCTTTTGAGAATACATATTATGATTCTCCTTATCACATGGTATGGCTATACAATTACTTTCTGAACGTACTTACACAGCTCAAGAGTTGCGCTGATGAAGGAGACAGCCAAAAAACTTCGATTGAATGATTTACAGACCTCTTTACTGATATGTCATCTTTTTTATGTGGTTGGACATTTCGTAATTTATATAGTCGGCCTTCTTTTGAAGCTAGGTGAATTTTAGTTTCTCTACGCACTTATCAAATGGTGTTGAGCGTTACATTTTATTGACTTGGATGTAGCCCTGCACATTTGATGCTCTAATACGTGATTTTTTTATATGCTAATATGGTAATGGGATCTCCTATCGTTCATCAAGACATAATGCTGCATTATTGTTCTTATGCCGTAAGTCACAATTTTCCACATTATATCTAATAACCTTATTGTCAATGGCACTAAGGTTTAATTTGAGTAGTCTCCATATTTGATTTGGTACACATCCATGCAAAAAGCTAATTTTGGGGCATTTGATGCCACATTTCATTGCCTTATTGACTTTAATTTGCTAATTTATTTGCCTCCCCTCTTTAAATTCCAAGACCACTTTTCGCAATGCATAAAGCAGGTCAGATTTTTGGTTCAAATGCCTTCTATTAACATCCTATCAACGATTGCTGTTAATGCATGTCGTATTCCTTTCTATACAACTATAATACTGCTATCTGACCTCTTATCAGTTGAATGACACCTGGGTGAATCGTCATAGACGAAGACAGCTGATATTGTAAATCCCCTGGCCGCGTCAAGTCCTGTCAACGAGACCTACACGAGTAATGTTCAGCCTTTTCTAGGTGTGAATGGGAAAGGATATTAAAATAAGCTCATTCACGATCTCTACCCATCATTTTGCTGCAAGGTGGTTTTTCTAAGTCCTTCTTTGTGACTGTTGACTGTCCTGCATTTGGGTAGCTTACCGCGCTCCATTTTTGGCATAGTCAACATGAGCATATTCGACCCTAATTATGGAAAATAACAGCAATAGGTCCGCCCAACATTTAGGTGAGTTTCTATTCACAGTCCAAATACTCGGGCAACTGCAAAGGCCTCTGAAATTGTTTTGCTTTTCCTTGTGTCTCCCGCCTCTCCTAACTTCATGCTATCTTCAAGTACACCTGGGCAGGCGATCTGGGAGGGCCTTTGTCCAGCTTTGGCGCATTCAAAGGTCCTCCCCTCCAAACCACTTGTTTACTTGTCGTCGCCTCTGATGTTGTGTTCCTTGGGATATTTACCATTTATGGCCAAAATGGTGTCTACTTCTGAGCTTGTTAGCGTCCATCTTTGCTTCCATGCTTTCATCAACATTGGCGACAATTTACGTCGAATTTAATTGGGAAGAATCGCTAGATGGCTACTTTTAATGTATAAACTTGTCTCATTGCTTAACCAAAGCACCTACTTTGACGTCTAGGTCCAGTGGGCATCCATTTCTGTCCTTAATAAGGTTGCCAGTCTTGTTCCACTGTCGACATTGCCGTACAAAATAACGTTGATCACGAAGTTGTTTTTATTTTCCTCGAATTATGGCCTTAGCAAAACATTTATGGATAGTCAACATAAGAAATAAGCATAGCAGTGCCTAATGAACGCGTAAACCGAGGTTTGATGTAGACTACGGGGAAAGACTGGCGTCTCTTTGTTCCCTCCACACACCTTTTTGGTCGAAAATTCACCATTGTGCTCTGGTAGTATGTGATTGTATGAAACGAATGCTTTGGTGCGTTAAGCTCCTTTCATTTAACTTTTAGATCTGTCCAAAAAAGCTCGAATTCACGTGGACCATTGAAAACTTCAGTCTCTCTGTTGCTGCACCGGGTGAGACGGTGGTGTCCCAAAGCTTTCCTCGCCATGCTAACAAGGGCTATGTGTGGTAATTCAGATCTTTTAACTTCACTATTCTTTACTCACACTCTCTCCTTCACTGGAGTTTGAAGTAGTAGGCAGGAGGGCTGTCAGTATCACGTCACACACATGGTTGCGGGTGGTAGTTGTAGTAGATCCCTTCCACCTGGGATTTGGATTAATCATATCAAACACTCCCAAAAATCGCTGCAGAAAATCCACCACGATTGCGTGAAACGCACCTGCGCTTTTTGATCAAAAGCGATCCAAAAATGATCCCTATCAAATCATCCCAGTTATGGCAACCAGGGAGGGAGGGGGTGTGTATGGGGGAGGAGGAGGCAAAGGTAAGAGACTGGTAAAGCATTTAAAATTGCGCGTTCTCTCTCAAGTATTGCAAAAAGGTTAATGTAAGAGCAACGTTTTATACAAAATTGGGGAAAAAAAATTTATTTCCAAACATCTACTTAGATGTACGAGAGCAGAAAAATCTACTTTACTTCCATCTCATTCTCTCACTGTTAAGTCTGGCGTTGGTTCAGTGGTGGTCTAGGGTTATGCAAATGTGCAATCTAAGCTGATCGCCTGTTTTTGTTAACTATTTTTTTTCTTGAACGAAAAAGGTGCAGTATTTATATCCCCCGCCCCCTCTCCTACCTCCATGTTGAAATCCAGTTGGAAATTAAAAGTTAATTAGCACTAGGCGGGGTTTATTCTCATTCCAACGATTCTGATAATGTTTAACAAGGGAATTTCTCCATCCCCTGAGGCCGTGATAACTTCCGATGCATCTGAGAGTCGATTGGGACAGCACGGACTCTGCGTCGCTGCTTCCTTCACAGTGAAGGCTGCAAACGCATGGCAGTTAACTTTCACTGCGAGGGTCTTTGGTACACGCCGCAAAAAATTTCAGACACAACAGGCATAGTCTGGCAAATAAAAAACGAGTTTTATTGGTCTAGAAGGTTTTCCTTAACTAAATACATCACGTCAATGTAGCCAATGCCTTGTGTCAAATTAACAATTCATGAGCGGATTGGGATTCTCCGTCCTCTCGTACACCCATGACACTCCCCCTATCCTTAATGAGGATATTCTTACACTGTTTAATCTTCCTCACCGAGTTTCAGTTGTTAATGTCAGAATGTCAATCGTGAAACTGGGTAAAAGGTGAGGACCTCAGAGTCACACTCAA